TTGTTTCAGGTTGATGAATGTGTTTCTCGCCTTCCCGATTCTCGCTCGATTTGACATCCTCATCTGTTCCTCCTGTAGTTGAGACAATGCTCCCTAGATAAGTTAAGTGAATGAAGTAACCTCTTTCAAATCCCTCCTGTTGATGGTGATTAACGCTGAATGTTGTTGCTGCTGTTGTTGTTGGTTGGTTGGTTGGTTATTTTCATAACTTTTATCTTGTCTATGTTCACCTGGAGTCCTGTCTTTGCTGCTTCTTCGATCAGTTTGTCGGTTTTCGCTTGTAAGTCTTCGATTTTGTGTGACATCAAACATAAATCATCCACGCGCGAAATCCAGGTCTTCTAGGTTCTTCACATCGGTCCAGGATATTCCTGTCTTCTCGTTTCCCACAGTCTGATGCATAATCCAGTCAGTCCAGCACAATTAGGAATATCATTGGTGATAATAAGCACCCTTGTCTCAGTGATTGGTTAACTAATGTAACCAATAGATATATAAAGAGCGGTTTGGTTAATGAAATATACCTTGACTTCCGTATCTTGCCTTCTATTGTTACAATGTTATATATGTAGTTGATTCTAACGGGGAATAATTGTGTTGTCTGTTAAAGTGTCTTAGTGTTAGACTACTGAAAGTCTTTGTAGCAAAATTGCCTTAGGAGTTATCAGTTGTTAAGTCAAGCAGTTGTCTGGTGTTCATTACATCCTATAGTGACTTTTGTATCGCCCATTTGTACTTATACAAAGTGTACACTTTGAAGTTAAGCAGGACTTTATAATACATACGAAATGAAATATTGTGTAATTCTTTTTTTCTCTCTGTGCATCGAATATTTAAACCAAAGTACATGAAGGTAAACAAGCATACATATATTAGTCAATTATATTTAAAATATTATCTATCACTTTGATCTTGTTGTTCAGAAACAAGGTGCTTGAACTAGTTCAAAGATTGGTATTAGCATGTTTCAACAGAGTTTATTAGATCAATTACATGCAAATATTATTTGAAGACATTGTAATGATTAACACAGGTCATTGGTCACTTTATAAATTCGATAGGTTGGAAATATGAAAATAGTGTATAGTAAAAATAAATGCCTTGATGATACTTGAACAATTTTTTGCAGATCCCAGTGAGGAAAAGGCATATGCATTACTCTTTATTTATGTCTTTCCATTTTTATAGATCACCTTAACTTGTTTTCTCTGATGGCTGTCTTTTGACTAGTCATTTATTACTTTTTCTATTACTTGTTCTATTTTTTGTTACCTTTCTCTAACGTTTCATGATCCTATACCTGTATGCCTGGATGATAGAGAAGTTGAAGGATATAAAATCCGAAAGTCTAGATAAGTAAGTGACTTTCAAAAATAAGCCATAAACTTTGAACACTAAAATACAGTATTATAGGATGATACGAGTTCAAATCTCAGAAGAGACATGAATTCGTTCAAGATTGCAGATATACCTTGCTGATGAATGCTACCAAGCACAAAACCTAGTTGGAAGGCCTCTTGTCGATTGCCTTCAACCGTCTAATAACAACAATTTTCGGTGTACCGTGATGACGAGCCACTTAGTGGCATGGTGGCCACATTGCAAACCTAACTGGGAGAATTCAGCATTTCATCATGAGCTGACATTAGTTAGAGAACCATTGGAAACGAGGGAGTACTGGACAACTGTTTCGTCCCAGTTCTTTGGGACTCTTCATCGGTACGCACCCACCGGGATTTCAACCCAGGACCCTCGGGTTACAAGGCGAGCTGGTATACCATTAAGCCATTGGGACCCGATCCGATGGCCTATGAATTCTAACTCCTGCCGATTCACGACATAGCGCGACCCCTAGCCAATGTCTTCGGCGAGTATTTGTCCTCACACCCGACCGGCTGCACCCTACTGGTCACGACTTCTCACAAGAACCTCAGATAACCTACCTCAATAAGGCAAGTCGCTAGTGAGCATTTCATTCAGTCTCCACCAAACAAAAGACCAGACGCGTGACACTAGTTAGTGTCAATTCACAGTATGAGGAAAAACTGTATATCATATTGGTTTCGGTTTAAATTCTTAGAGAACGATTCTAATATTCGTGATACTTCTGCTAGAACTCTTTCTATCCCAAGTCATTTATCTTTGCTGAAACAAAAGTGTAATAGGGGTATGTTCAAATTTTAGAATATTTGGTTCTGAGATTGGTCATTCTAAATCATCCATTCAGTGATTTTGTGGTCCGTATTGTTTTCCGTTCACTGAAGCCATTTGGATCGTTATTTTATACCACTCGTTGGTTTTTTCTAATTCAGAGGTCTTAGTTTGGGATCAATATACATCTTGCTGATAAGTACTGAGAAACACAAAACTGTCTTTCAAGGCTTCTTTATTTGTCAAGTCAACACCAAATACTTGAGGTCGATTTGACGCAACACCCACCCTAGCTATATGGAGAATAGCAATAAAAAAAACCAGGAGGGACTAAAGCACACCAAGAAGTTGTGTGAATACATTTATATGATTATGAGGAAGGAATTGAACTGAGAACATTATCCAGTTATTAACACTCTATGACTATGTTATATAAAATGAACTTATGGACTAATATGGAGTTATATTCGCCTACAGTGCTCAAATCCTTCTCCTGAACTACTTGAGAACGACTTTCACTCATTTAGTATTATGATTAGTAATTCATTTCAAAATTTAGAAATATTAAAAACATTATAAGACTCTGAAAGCATAAAGTAGTCTTATAAGGTGAAGAGATTGTCCTACACTAAACTTGAAAATAATCATAAAATCTTGAGTGTGATGAGACTGCAACTAGGTTAGAATTCCATGTCAATTCAAGTTTTCTCCTGACTTTTGGCGAAGATCAACTTCTCGAAAATATCTCAAATAAAAACTTTCTTATTTACAGTTTCAACTCGAATAATATTGTTAAAGCAAATATAAACATTTAGTCAACACAATATATGATTAAGCTACACTAAAATCTTTTCTTGATGTCTGTTTTAGATGGTAAGAGAAACCAACTTTATTGCATAGGATTCGAGTCATTTAGGCCGCATTATCTCTACTTTTCTACTCGGTAATCTTGTAACGACAGAAGACAAGGGCCAGGCAACAGATCATTTATTGAGATAAATCAACAGATATTTATAGATTTTTATGTATATTATAAGTTATTCTTAGCAGACAAACACAGTCTTCTGATTGGTTGTTTTCTCGCTGAAAGTCAATCTGTCATCTCTTTGTAGCTGTTCCTTTAAATGGTCAAATCATCTATCTTCGAATCGTATCCTCCCACGCAAAGTCTGCTGTGATTGGTTGTTGATTTAGTCTGTTTTTGTTTTTCCCTTGACCGAGATATGGGAGGTAAACATTGCTGTCTACCAATATTGGCTAGCAGACAGCTCTCACCACAATCTATCCATTGTCAAATTGTCTTTTATTGTATTTACGAGTTGATTACGGACTGATATCAGTTAGAGAAGCATTGAAAACCAGGGAGTGGTGGACAGCTGCGGTTTCCTCCTAGTTTGGGAATCATCGGAAGTACGCATCCACCAACAGGGTTCTAACCCAGTACTTTCCGGTTACTAGGTAAGCTGGTATACCATTCAGCCCCTGGGATCCGATTCAATGGCTCATGAATTCTTACTTCTACCAATCCAAGGTACACTTTTTTGGTCATCGTATCATTGAAGATTAATCAGTCTTTATTATGCGCTTCTTTCACCTTTAGGGTTCGTTAGCATTACGAACAGAAGCTGTAATAATTGAAATGTCATTTTGTTGTTCAAATGTAATAAACATGTCTCAAAATATAATAATTTTCGGGTCCGTCATCTAGTATTAAGTGCCCTTTGATTTCTATATTAGTCATCTAACTGATATCATTTCGTGAGTGAAATCTTCCTGTAAGATCAAGTAAATCTCTACTCACTCAGCAATTTGAGCCTATTACCTTTTATTTTATTATTAATAATCAGGTATGAAATCCTACTTGGAATAGTTTTTAAATTACCGTGAAAATTTTGAATATTTCGCTCCTCAGGTTATCATTATCATTATTAACTTACTGATGATGATAAAACGTGGTTGATGGAGTCATGTGGTACTGTCGTTTAGCTGAAGAAATTTATTATTATGGGTATATATGTTCTAACAGTGAATGATATATATATATATATATATATATATATATATATATTTAGGTGTACTGTGTGTTCATATGTATTAACGACATCAATAACATTCATCCATTTGACAGATGCAGCTATTTTCCTGATGCAACATTAGAGAATTTCATCACTCACCGTTATTGGTTACAGAATCACTAAAAATAAACAAAAGAGTACTGGAGAGCTGTTTCTTCTTAGTTCAGAACTCCTAAACAGTGAGCATCAATGACCCCATCAAGGATCTAACCATGGACCTTAAGGTTATCCCGCTGACAATTTAACCATGGGGTTTAAATTGAGTGATGTCTGCATCCTAGCTTCTGCTGATTCGCTGCATGGTGAATAATGCTTTCGATGTGTATCTGCTTCACTCCGACATGGTGGGTCTACCAGTCATTACCGAAGAGTCTCAAATACTGCTGCTATGAAAGAGGTGTACAGTTTTCCTTGGTTTTCATCAATTCTCTAAATGGTGTGACTAATTCGTGACTAAATCTACACTGAAATTAATCCAAATCTCTACAAAACTGTAATTCAGAAGCCCATTCATAACTCAGACACGATTGAAATATGGAATTTGTGAATGTAAAATGTGACCTCTGATCTATGTATTACTATTTTTCTAAAAAACGGAACTTTCGGTTCATTTATTATTTCAGTGTCTGAGAGTTTGCACTTGGCGCTAAATATTTTTGAAATGATTTAGTCTCTTATCTTCATCAAATTTCTGATGTTTTAATATTATATGCCTTTTGTAAAACATTCGTTTTTTTTCCTTCACTTTATAATATAAATGATTATCATTTCAAGGGTTTCACTATTCTACAAAAGTTAAAGGATAGAAATAAACACATCAATTTGAAAATTGTTAACAGTGGAGTGAAAGTAAATAATACAGATTTACAGACGTTGTCACAATCTGGTAAGTTGAGTTTAATGAATGAATCTTAATTTATCTGTATGATGAGAACTTTATCACTGTAACTTTAAAAAGAAAAGTAACTCTGGAATTAAGGAATGTTTTTAATATCATCCAGCTTGGCATTGTTATTATTATATTTATTTATTTTTATTCTTTTACGTTCTGAGTGAAAAATAGGGCTTCAGGCTCGAGCTCCAAATTTTCGTTAACAGTGGTTTTATTTTTATGGGGTGTGGGGTCGTTAGCCTCACACCCAACCTTCCCTCTTTACAGGCATAACCACGGGTTTATAGAGGTTTAGGGGTGCCTCAGCCAAGGATAGATTCCCGGACCATGTGCGTGGTTGGCGAGCGTTCTACCACAGAACCACCGACTCACTATCATCCAGCTTGATAGGATGTTCAGTAATCATGAAATTTTTCTTCTTTGTATAAAAATGGAAGAATCACTTCATCACTGTGCAAAAAAACTAACTCGTAAAACTTTCTTAGGTCTTTGTCAAAGTAAGAAGGACCAAAATTTACAGTGTACGAAGTACACATGATTCTGTTTCGAGGTCTCTCTTCAACTGCAGAAAACCAAATAAGAACCTACATATTCTTATTCTGTTGGCAGAAGTTTGGTAATGAAGATTGTAGTTTCGATTCTTCAAATCACACTTTTAATTGATCAATGACTAACATTAGGTGCTCTTCTTCGTAATGTAAGACAGAATGAAACTCATTAAATCATGTGCTAGGTTAAAGTATAACATCCATGGTTCATATACGCTTGTTTGCTTAACAATCTATTGACTTATAATATGACGTCATCTCTGTCATACTGTTTGTTATATTTAGTTAATTGTATAAAATTTGTTTAAATTTAATTCACAACGGAATTTCGTATTGGAGGAATTCGAAGATAGAATCAGATAACTGAAAAAAAGTATTGAATCATAGGTATGAATAAGTAAAATAAATTAAAATGTTTGTCATTATGATCACAGTTGAATGTCAAATGGTAAAACAATTAATGTCATATACAGAACAATTCATAGGATGTATAGAACTCGGGAGGGATGTGAAATTATACGATTAGTAGGCAAATAAAATTGAAATAAAAATGCTACATAACATTGTGTGAAATTTGATAACATAGAATCCAATGTTACAAAACAGACTTCATTTAGAATGACAAGTGGAACACGTGAAATAACACTGGAGACAATTCAAAGTGAGAATAGTAATAGTAAGAATTGATGTAATAAAGAAAGATTTTACAAAGTGAATAGACAAAACGGAAAAAATTAGTAGAGTCAAAATATGAATGGGGATTCTCATACTTTAGCATAGAGGGATTAAGACTATTAAATTTGGAGGTGTTAAGTGAACTTTTTCTGTGTACAGGGAGATCTGGCTTCTCTAAATCTATGGCCACAGTTTCGGCAATACAGATGAGTTCGATATGTAATGATTTGGGCAAATTACTTTTCGCTTTGTGCATCGGTGGCACAGCGGTTAGGACGCTCGCCAACCATGCACATGGTCCGGGGTTCGACTCCCGGCCGACCCACTCCTTTACCTCGCTAGACAAGTAATAAGACTGGTAAAGAGTAAAGGTTGGGCATGGGGCCAGCAACCTCATCCTGTAAAATTAAACACAGCTACAGAAACTTCAAGCCACTAGCTTGAGGCCATATGTTCCACTGGGAACGTGAAGGAAATACAAAAAAACTTTTCGCTTTGTAGATGGTTTTAAAGGATGAGGCTGTAGAGATAGGGTAATCAGTATCAACCAGGTGTTCATTGATCGCGTTTCTTATAGCTCCACTTCCAACACTTCGTAAGCATACAGGATAGTGTTCTTGGAGCTAGGTATATTGGTTGTTCAACCGGCGGTTTGCCCAAGAGGGTGCAAGGACACTTTCTACTATTATTGTTGAATTCACTTTTAAACTTGAGGTCAAAAACTGAAGTCATCTCTTTCTTCGATCACTGCTTCTCTACCACTCTTCATTTCTCTCTAATGAAAAGAAACCATGAATGTGGTTTAAAATAAACTTCCCATCTAATATATATATATATATATATATATATATATATATATAATGTTGGATTATGTTGACGTGATTCAGTGAATAGTGTTTCAGTGTCCCCAAGTTAGAATAAATATTTAATAATGACTTTCACCATAATAGTGTTTGATAAAGCTTTCACAATTTTACTTTTGTTTCCCGAAGCGATTTTAATAGTGCAACTTAGGAAAATATTTATTTCACCTATCGACAAAGTGCCTGTTTCTATTTCTCGGTAGATTTAAAAATTCTTGTTGATTAATTCAAAAAATGACTTTAACAAACTTATTTTCCTCTGGTGATATTGTCATCGAAATTATTTGTTCTGTTATGAAGTAAATTTTTTGTTTTCTTTCAATAACATCAGTAACAATCTTCGCTTAAGTGAATTTCCCTTTCAATGACCTGTCATCAGGATTTGAAAAAATATATATTCATTCAACTTTGAAATAATTATGTATTATTAGTATTACCTTGGTTGCGAGTAAAACATATGGCTTCAACAACACATTTCCACTTCCTTCTGTTCTCTGCCATCCTCGTCAACTGGGTCCACGTTTGACCGTAATCACTCATCTCCCCCTCCCCACACGATCTTCACCAGGTCACCTTCGCACCGAAAACCCGCTCGTCGCTTCCCATTGTGATTCCACTCGAGAGATGGCCTGCAATCAGCGCGATGTCATTCGACTGTCTCCCTAACGTATGCCCGATCCATTTTTACTTTCTCCTACATATTTGTTGAACAATGGGCTGTTGGTTGGTCCGTTCCGAACCAGAGTTAATTGTTGCTGATTCTTTTTGGCCTGCCACTCGATTTTCATTCTGGAGCCAGTGATAAGGGAAACTGTCGATAATAGTCTGCAGTGGCGTGTTGGAAATCCTTTTCATGACACGTAGTGCAAGTCTCTGACCTGTACACAAGAAGTGACCGACTGACTGATTGACTTCACATTTGTGTTGAATAGAATCCGAATCTTGTTCTTTATGCTGTTTGAGGCGGAGTGCAGAAGATTTCCAATCTGGTTTCAGGTTGATGAAGGTGTGTCTTTGTGACCTGGTTTGACATCTTCATCCGTTCTGAATTCCTGTGGTTGAAACTGTGGTGGCTGTTTAGATAAATGAAGGAGGTAACCTATGGCAAATCTCTCCCGTTGATGATGATAATTATATAAGTCACTATATAGTCATTTGAGTACCTATTCCATATCTCCAAGTAACAGAAACTACATCTGTATTTATATTTCTTATTATTTCAAGGTGCCGAAGTGGAATGGCTGGATGTTAAACGGCTAGTTGGAAAAGGAATTTTACATACGAAACTATGGTCGGTTGACTCATTACATGGCTATGTAGGTAGTGCAAATATGGACTGGCGGTCATTAACAGAGGTAAGTATATATATGTATATATGTATACCGTACATCACTCAAACGTAATAAATCAAAAGTATAAAGTACCTGTGTAACCTTTATGATTTACTACTTTTCTAATTATAATTTTAACAAAAAATAAAGCAGTATATGATTGGTAGCATTCTAAACAGGAATAAAGCAAAATTCTTGGTTTTAGATTTAAGGTTTTGTCATTTGCTATATTTTCTATAGTTGATTTGTAAGGATTAGTTATGTTTTCCGAGTTGATCACGGATTGATATCAGTTAGAGAACCATTGAAACCACCAAGGAGTACTGGACAGCTGTTTCATCCTAGTTTGGGAATCATCGGCAGTACACACCCACCACCAGGGTTGGAACCCAGGACCTTCCGGTTTCTAGGCAAGCTGGTATACAATTCAGCCACCGGGACCCGATTCAATGGATCATGAGTTCTAACTTCTACCACGAATGGTAGAAGTTCGAACCACAGTGGGTGCGTACTCCTGATGATTCCCAAACTAGGATGAAACAGCTGTCCAGTAGTCCCTCGTTTTCAATGGTTCTCTAACTGATATCAATCCGTGATCAATTCACAAAACATAATAACTATATCCTACGTAAACTATGTAACCACTTCAACAAGGTGTATTAGAACTTAATACAAAGTAATTTTATATACCAGATAATGCCATACGTTTATTATTTAAATTTCGCAGGCATTATCTATTAAGTCAAATGATAATTGTCTTCAGTAATGTCATAAATATCCACACATCGGTAGTGATTACTGAGTACTTTCAACTGTAGACTAATTACTAGTTTAGCTGTCAATCGCCAATTAAAGTATTCGATAGGTTTTTTCACTATAACCACTAAGTTACGTAGGATTCCACCCTTGTTGACACAACAACAGGACATCTCTATTGCCTTCAAGATACTTCTGTACTAGTTATTATTGGACTGAGGTACATACAACAGATTTCCTATATACCATGTTATGAACCACACTTATATTAAGTAAGGGATAGTGATACTACCTATTTGCCCAGGCTGAAGTAGGTGGAGGGAGATTCGAACTGGAGACTGGTTAACCGAATGTTGTATGCACAATTCCATGGGTCATATCTCTACATTTTTTCAATAGGTAATATAGATTCAAATTTCTGAAGGCTATAAATCTGTTCTATGGATAATTTCTAGAAGTGATGAAGTACAGACAGAAATGTTGTATAAACAAAATGTAATGTGCTATGAATGCAATGTGATTTTTACTCAATGCTGATATCAGTTGATTAAATTTTATCTAAAATAATTTGAACCTTGAGGATCATCATAATTCCGATATTCATTTAAAGTCGATATTGTCATTCAAGGCTTACGCAACAAAAATTACGAAATTTTCTTGACAACAAGATGAATATTTCTAAAGATGCATCATCTGAATTATTATTGTCATCACCAGATCGAAAGTAATTGTCTTGCACAAATGTGATTATAATTGTGTAATCTATTCTTTGTGACACTAACAGATACTAAGTCAGCGTAAAACATAGTATGGAAGTGAATCACTTGAGATTATCCACACTCTGTGACAACTATCTAAAAGAAAGTGAACAGATCAAACCAAAGATTTGGAAAGTTATCGAGTGACCGCATACTAATTTGCAGAGATTGTATAGATTAGCAGTATGTATCTGCTAAGTCACCTTTAGCATTTTTTTCGGCTAGCAGACGAACATCTTTATGATTTTATTAGCTAAAAATATTACTAAACAGAAACCTATGATTTTAGATTCATAACATATTTTTGTCTACTATTTCCAACAGCCTATATAATAAGTGTAGGGTATTCATCTTTATTCCCCGTCCATGAAATTTTAGATTGCACAAAAGTCTCCCGTGTTAAGTGGTATAACAAGGTGAGCAATATTGAGGTTAGGCGTCGAGTGCTATGTAAGGAGGGGAAATCAATAGACGAGACTGTGAGGTTACATCGGTTGAGATAGTAAGAGCATGTGTCGCGTATCTTTAACCGTGGCCTTTCTAAACAGCCAGTGTTGGCCAACATAGGATTGATCAGGTTGGAAAACCAAAACATGGCTTCAACAGTCAATGAAACCCACAACAGTTAGTTTAAGTCACGTAGGAAGGTGTAGACTTTCTGGTTGGGGTCCTCGGGATGGTAAAAACCGATGGCTGGAGAAAACTGGTGATATGGCTCAAAATCGTTCTGAATGGCTGGTGCAGATGCATCCACTCCTTGTGACTTACAATATCCAATAAAAATGTATTGTTCTTCGTTATTACTATTCTTATTGCCTCATATCTATGTTTACTGTTTCCATTTTGCATTCCTTTTTACTTTCCTCTCTTGCTTTGTGATTTACATGGAGTGTGGTGACTGTTGCACATTGGTGCAAAGTTCTATGTTGAAACCAATCAGTCAGTTAGACACAAGTCTCAGACATGTCATCTTTTAACTTTTTTCTCGGGAAAATATTCTTCATTCATTGTTTTTTCGATTTTCTAGTTAGTCTTTTATTTACTACGTGAAGTGTTTTTACAACATAACTTCTAGGTGAAAGAATTAGGCATTCTAATACTTAACTGCCCAGATTTGATCAGTGATTTAGAAAAAATATGGAAAGTTTACTCCCTCCTTTCTGGTACAAATACTTCGATTCCTTCAAAATGGCCAGAAGAATTGCATACAAAATACAATAGCACTAATCCACTTGTTACAGAAATCAATGGTATGCAGTCACAAGTCTACTTTTCAGTAAGTTGGATATACTTTTTAGGTATTTTTATGCATTATAAATGCTAAAATTTTAAATTATAATTGTACTTGTTAAAACTGTTTTACAGATACCTATGAATTTGTATGTTTATAAACTTTTGATGCATTCGATTGCTAGTTATCGTGTCGATTTGATAAGAAAGATTGAATGAAACTAAGAGACAGAATATAATTTGATATTTGAATATTTTCCATTTCGAGATGAAATGTTATCATCACTCAAGTAAACGCAGGTGAAATTCTACCTGTATCTGTGAAATTTGCAAAAGACGGCTCGTTGTCCTAGTAACTAACCAGAATTCTGATCCTTCATACATTTATTCCCCCTTATGAATTTGAATAAAGCAAGAACAACTGTTTGTACGGAATACTACCATCATTTGTTTCGTTGACTTCTCATCAGCTGCTTACAGTCTAAAGATATTATCTAGTTCATGCACAGAAACGGTTTTAACATAATTATAGAGACAGTTCATTTTTAAACAAAAAATCCATATATTGCACACAATGATAATAATAGTTATCGCTTTATCCCAAGCAATAATAATCATACACAGTGGAAACTTTCGGCGTTACGTAATCAAATGAAAAAGAGGATGAGAAAACCCCGTTACTAGGAAAAGGATAGACCGATAGCCGCTTCTTTCTGTACACATAAATCGGATTTCAGGAGTATTATTGCTATAAGTATAAAACTTGGGCACTGTGGTAGAGTATAATTCCATTATGGATAAGATTTTATTTTGATATATCACACATTGTTGTGCAGTTATATTAACTGATGACGTTTCGAGCGCAAACTATTGCTCATAATCATATCAAGTTGATATGATCGGGTTTCAGGAGCTTGATGGAGATTCCTCGAGAAAACTTGAGGAGAATTGAACTCTTTTGTCTATTGATAATTTTGAACGATTTTGCGACGTCCACTTCATGATCTGTGTCAAGGAAATGCCTGGTAATGACACTATTGAAAGCATTTGTTCCTATGAGACGTAGGATTTCCGCACATGTTCAGAAAATCGGAGGTGTGGCGTTTTTCTGTTCTCCCAATGTAACTGCTGTCGCAGATACATATAAATTTGCAGTCACAGTTGCAATTAACATGAGAAGGATATCTGTCGACGTTTGATTGCGCCAAAGAGCATGTTGTCCGATACACGGGAACCAACTTGGCTGGAAGAGAGGCTCTGAATAGTGACATATTCAGTCTTCTATTGATTATTCCTGCAATTCTATCACTTTTAAAATCAAGTTGACTGAAGATAGGCTTCTTTCTCACTGTAATTTGTTTGGCATTAGGGCCTTCAGATCCCCCGTACTTGTTAATGAACCTTTGAGGGTAACCGGTGCGTCTCAACATCTTTTCGATAATTAGAAGTTTTTCCTCTTATTTCTCTGTGGAGCGTATTCTCCTGATTCTGCAGAACAGAGTTTTGACCAATGCTCGTTTAAAGCTATTTGGACAAAAACTATTAAAATGTAGGTATTGTCCTTTCCATGTAAGCTTTTAGTAAATTGACCTCTGAAGACAATCATCTTCTAAGCAATGCCAAGGAAATGAAACTTTTCATAATTTTCATGTTCCATAGTGAATTCAATATCTGTTTGTGCATCGTTGAATAATCTGAGTAGGTAGGGCGCATGACTTCCATTGTTGCACACTACAAATGTGTCATATACATATCGGCTAGAAGAAGTTGTATCATCGATTGCATGCTTCAACTCTGTTCTTTCAAGATTGGATATGAAGATATCTGCTAAAACAGAGCTAAGTGAATTCCCCATAGCTACACCATCTATTTGGTGGTAAAGAGTGTTGTCAAACTTGAATTGAGCATCGATAGTATACATTAGCACTAAACGTTTGAATTCCGACACCGAAAATGGGAGAAGATCAAACTGTTAGCAAATGATCTCGATAGCTTCATTGATTGTGATCCTTGTGAATAAGGAGGTTACATCAAATAACGCCATAAACATATCTGAAACGTTCAAGTGGTTCTGAAAAATGAAATGAATCTTTCATGCTGATCGTTCGAACTGAATTCGGTTGTTTGATCTGATTCAATGTAGATGCACCGTTGATACACACGGTTAGTGTAAGCGCTAAAACTGCCGCCTTGAAAGGACAATCAAACCCTCGGTATTAAATCACCCACTTCATAGAACATAACGACATAAAAAACTCCAATCTCTGATACAAACCGCCTACATTATTTCGCAGTTCAAACTTCTTTATTTGTTCTTTCTGATTTCTGCTTGTATTTCCTTTCTTCACCCACAAAAAACTAGAGTTCACCGCTCTTATTTAATCCTCCTGGACGAAATAATGATCTGGATGCTCTATTATCAATTATAAATAAAGCAGAAAAGTTTGTTTATATATCAGTTATGAATTATCTACCTGAAATTCAACTTTATCATCAAGATGGAAAAATATTATCTGAGTAAGTCAGTATTTAATATTCCTGTTTTCACATAGAATAACTTCATATAATAATTATGTATAGTAATTTTTAAGAGTTTAAAAAAGTGAACAAACGACAATTATTAGTAAACCAAGATTTAATGAATTTATCCAATTTCCATAGGATTCGTCAGCGGAATACTGTATATACCGCGATAGGAGATATGTGACTAACGAACCAACCTCATAGATCTATCATAGCAAAATAGAAGGTGCAAATATCTTACAGGGCATGTTTAGATACGTTAAGAGAATGGAAGTGTACCAGAGATTGGAAACTGAGATTGTAGTGGATTACAGTTCGTTCGCGACACTATACGACGAATAATGATGATAAAAATCAAATGAGATAAGACTGCGGTTATTATTATTATTGTTCCCTTGGGTTGCGAGTAAAACATATGGCTTTAACAACACATTTCCACTTCCTTCTGTTCTCTGCCATCCTCCTCTTCAACTGGGTCCACGTTTGACCATAATCGCTCATCTCCTCCTCCCCACAAAATGTCCTCCATGTCACCCTCTCACTGACCACCCACTCATCGCTTCCCATTGTGATTCCACTCCAGCAATGGCCTGCATTGCACGCGATATCATTCGACAGCCTCCTCAGTTGTGTATGCCCGATTCATCTCCATTTTCTCCTACATATTTGTTGAGCAATCGGCTCTTGGTTGGTTCGTTCCAAACCAGAGTTTCTTTTTCTCCCACCGACCATTTGATCCTCAATATGGAGCCAGTGAAGGCAGTTGTTGATAAAAGTCTGCAGTGGCGTGTTGGAAATCATTTTCATGACACGCAGTGCAAGTCTTTGACCCGTATAGAAGAAGTGACCAACTGACTGACTTCACATTTTTGTTGGAAAGTCGAACCTTGTTGTTTATACTGTCTGAGGTGGAGTGCAGAAGATTTCCAAACTGGTTTCAGGTTGATGAAGGTGTGTCTTTGGTTTCCGATTCTGACCCGGTTTGACATCTTTATCCGTTCCAAATTCCTGTGGTTGAAACTGTGTTGGCTTCCTATAAAAGTGAAGGAGCTAACCTCTGTTGAATCTCTTCCGTCGGTGCTAAATGGTTCTGGCTGTTGTTGTTTTTGAAGTCCGTTGGTTATCTTCTTCATCACCTCTGTCTTCTCTATGTTGCTGAAAAATGTTAGTTTTAGCCAAAATAGTAATTGTGGTGATAACTGAAATAGAAATGACCATCATAACAGTTACCGATGAAAATAATACTACCATGGAGGATTCAAAGTGACCTAGTTTATAGACTTTAATTACACAAGCCTTTGTGATTGCATATATGTATATCTGTTGATTTGCTGACAACAGTGAATGAACTGACAGTCTAGAAAATGCCTTGTTATTCAATTTTTGGGTATTCTGGCTTAGACTTGTCTCAATTATTTGTGAAAATGGTCGGTCATACGAGTAAACATTCACCTTTCCCTACGATTTATTTGTTCCTTGAATGAACTCAAACTGACATACGCATTCAGAAGTATAGAAAATTGATCTTCATCCTTTCCCAGATTGTTACAACGCATGCTTGGTGGTTCTAAGGTATGAGAGTTTTACAGCATAGTAGATTCTTCTTATAGATTTGTCAAGTCTTTCTTTAACTACTTCTTGTATATCGTATTTAAACGGCAGACTGATGTGTACGGACATCTTGGAAACTTTTAGGACAGTTAATTTTTGACTACCATCACTTTGGAATACTTCCCGATTTACAATTATTGCTTGTTTTTAAATTTGTAACCAGTTGATTAAAAATAACAATACTGTTGCATAAAATGAACTGAACACCAGTTGTATTACAACAGATGAGTCTTAATTCAAGTCTGTTGCTCAATAATTCAAATGTTAATTGCTTATCTCAATGAAGTACATTTATCGTCAATAAGGTTGTTTGTACTGTATAACATTGTTTCAATGCTAAAATGAGTGATAACATGAAGACAGAAGTTAAACAGGTATTTATTCAGTAAAATATTTCTTCTTATCGTTGATTTACGCCATACAGCTGCGTCATCGAATGTGGATAAAGTAGCTTCTTGACTTATCGTCTTGATTAAAGCAGTGATTGCTGAAGAGTGAAGAAAAACCAGATTCGGAGTCTTCTTCAAACATTCAGCTGCTGGATCAACGGCAAACAGCTCTACTGTGTAACATACACTTAAGTCAGCTATCATGCGAATGGATTTACGCATCTACTCACTCGAAATCATCATACAGACTCTTATCTTCACTCATAACTAAAGGGAGTTAGAAAAGACTGATGACCGGCTGTTCACAATACTATATCAAACACTTTTGGTTTATCGGCTTATTTGTGTTGTAAAAATATTTTGATATAAATCGTAAGAGAATTACATTTTACTGAAAGGTTTGAATTAACAGTCTTCGAACTACTGGTTGGATTAAATAGGTACCCAGTTATTGGACACCACTATCTTGACACCATGGTAACTCTGTAGACAATAGAAATTAGGCAAAACATTTAATCCTCCTTTGTCTTAATACACAAAAATGTTAACCAATGATATCTAGCATGTTGCTAGAATATTCGAATATTCACATAAAGTGTGTCGCAAGCCTATTCAGATTCCATAGTATGTATTCAAATTTCATTTCATTCGTAGCCTGCTTTGATTGAATGGCCCAGCAAGATACCTGATACCTTCAGTCGACTTTTCAAATATATGGGACAATAATGTATTCCAATAGTCCTGCACGATATTGTGACTCAAAGCTACTAATCTTCAACTAAGTTCACTCAACCTTGTTTAATCAAAGAACAAAACAATTATTCATTCTCTTTATTGTATTGTGACATGAGTTAAGAATACGTAATGGAGTTATGATTGGGCCACAGACACGATGTAAAGTTTTTTATATAAAAATAGTTTTTTTGTCCCTTTACATTCCCAGTGGAACATAGCAATTCAAGCTAGAGACTTGAAGTTTCGGTAGCAGTGGTGTTTATTTTTATGGGATGGGGTTGCTAGCCCTCCATGCCCTACCTTTCCTCTTTACCAGTCTTATTACTGGCTTAGTGAGGTAAAGGAGTGAGTCGGCTGGGATAGAACCCTGGACCACCTGCGCGGTTAACGAGCATTCTACCACTGTGCCACCGCCGCACAAAAAAGGGGTTAGTATATCTTAATTACAGACAGCAGAGTGACGTGTTTTGACTGACGATATACTGCTGGTTGAGGGAAGAAAACATGCTTAAATTTCTTATAAAAATATTGTTCAGTAACTTTCAAGAGAGAAATGTTTAAGGCACGCAGTTGACGCAGTTACCTATCTTTGAGTCTGTATCGATAATCTCGGAGAGAATAAGCGCTGACAAACATGAAACTTGGCTGTCGTTTACACCCACCTTGTGAATCAATGTTGTTACTTTTTAACTGTGATAAAATACAGTTGTAAATCTAATCCTTAAACAGAAGATTTAAAATCAAATTTAAAAGTGACTATACCATGCAATTAAGAAACAATATACTGCATTTTTGCAATTGACTGTAGGGAATTTTGTTTTCATCAGTCAACAGTTCCTTATCATTATGATGCTTCTTCTTTCTGTAAAATAATTGACCTATTTAATTAAAATCTCTTGTTTAAATCATCGTTTGTCAAACACTACAAATTCAAACCATAAGGTTGATAAATTTGTTATTATGGTGGTCTTGACACTATTGAATATATACATTGTCTAATTTAATCTTATTACCCTTTCTTATTATTTGTTTTCCAAATAGATAAACAGTAAAAACGACTGTATTCACTATAGTTTTAAGGTGATTACCTAAAATGAATATGAATGTGACAATTGTTTATATTAATTAAATAAGTGTAATGGTTCATGATAATAACGAAGGTGATAAGTTTGAAGGAGAGAAGCGAAGCGAGTGTGAAAATAACATATTTAAAATTACTTCATTTTACCGGATAATTGGCTTGAATATTTTGTTTATCAAATTGCGTCTACTGGTTGATTAGCAACATAACAAAATTGATTAGTAATATATTTATAATCATGTTGAATTAATTGCGTTATCTGAGCTGCCAGTTGATGTAGTTGCGAAACTATCGTCGTCTTTCTGGACAACATCTTCAGTGCAGGTTTTAGTATAAAATGAACTAATTCAAATTCTACATGAATAATGTAGTCGTATCTCCTGGAGACAACTATTGTGACTAGTTGTTAATTTACGTGTCTATTCATCAAACTTTTATTGACTTGAAATTCGAACTTCCATTGTCATGTGATTTACTTTTTATTAGCTGGTAAATTTGGTTTATAATAATGTGTTTGTTAATTGCTGGTTGATTCACTTTAGTACCAGGCTTTTAGGAATCCCATGATAGTAGTTTTGATGTTTCATTTGTTTGAAATTTCTACATTATTTCAATCAAACTGGTTTTCATAATTATCTACATGCATTGATGATACACTTGAAATAATTAAAAGAAGTAATTTGGAATATACCCACAAATTAATAAACAAACATATCTGAAGACCTTGAATTCATAAGAGAAGAAGAATTATACAACAAAATTCCATTCTTAGATATCTTAATCAAGAGAACTCAAAGAATAAATTTAGAAACACCAGTATAGAGAAAATCAGAGCACACAGACCAAATACTCAACTAGGGTAGTAATAACCCACAAAAGAAACAGTGTGCAGACATTGTTTAAAAGATTTCAAACATACTGTAGCACTCCAATGTTGAAGAGAATGGAAGAACAATATTTAGTAACCGTCTTCAAAAAGAATGGACATCCTCACAATTTCATGAAAAAGTGTTCAAACTCAATTCATAACACCAACAAGAAACCATCATTGAAGACTACAAGAAAATTCATCCTACCATATATAAAAACTATCACCGAAATAACAGCCAGAATGTTAAGACCGTTAGAAATAGATGTAGCACCCAATCACTTCATTCGATATTATTGAAACCAAAAAATCCAACAGAAAAAGAGGATAAAACCAATACCATTTACGAAATAAACTTTATGAACTACAATAAACACTACATAGGTCATAGTGGTCGTCCCCATAGAATTCGAATCCAGGAACACAGCTGTTAAAAGACATGATGTATATTGTTTCATATCAATGCATGTAGATAATTATGGCCGCCAATTTGATTGAGATAAGGTTGAAATTTCAAACACAGAAAACATCAAAACTACTATCACGGGATTCCTAAAAGCCTGGTACTCAAGTGAATCAACCAGCAATTAACAAACACATTATTATAGACCAAATTTACCAACTAATAAAAAGTAAATCACATGACACGGAAGTTCGAATTCCAAGTCAACAAAAATATGAACTGTCGTGACTGGTTGTTAATCTACGTCTCTATTGCTGTCTCCAGAAGATACAAATGCATCATGCATGTAGAATTTGAATGAGTTCACTTTATACTAAGACCTGCACTGAAGATGTTGTCCAGAAGGACGACGAAAGCTTTGCAATTACATCAACTGGCAGCTCAGAAAACCCAACGAGTTCAGTATCATCTATCTGAGCTACAAATCTTCTCCATCATTTAAATATTAAAAATCATGAAAAGTGTAATGATTTACTCATTAAAACCAACAAGTCGTAAACGTTTTTTTTTAAAAAAAAGTATTCGTTCACATTCTATGGTATTTCTCTTGTTATGCTATTAAAGAAAGTTGGCTAGTAACTTGATCAAAACGTGTTATGAATCGGTTGGAAATTGATGATGATTGACACGATCCACATATAAAGACTGTGGGCTAATTAGTACAAATAGAGATCTGCAAGTTGCAACTGAGCTTGTGTGAACTAAGCAGAAGAAACATTTAACTGTTACTCAAAATGTGGGTTTTTTAGAGTTTTGGATTAATTTCATTGAAGACTTCGCCGCGAAGTAACATCACTTGGAGAATTACTGGAAATCAGAGAGCACTATACATTTGTTTTGTCGTAGTTTGGGGCGATTCATTAGTGCTCACCTTGGCTTTTAATAATCCTCTAACTGATGTTAGTGTGTGACCGAATCTACAATGTTATTGATCTGAATACCTTCAAAATTCATAAGCCTAGTATCTATCTCCTTTACCTACCTGGGAAGCATCGTTTCAACTACAGGCGGACGGAACCGACGAGGATATCAAAGCCAGGATTGGGAAAGCAAGACAAGCTCTCATTACTCTCAAGTCTGTGTGGAGGTCAACAGCACTCAGCATCAAAAATAAGATCCGGATTTTCAACTCCAATGTGAAGTCAGTGCTACTTACTATACGGATCAGAGACTTGGCCAGCGCGTCATAAAGAGCACCTCAAACCATCTACAGACCTTCAGTAGCAGCTGCCTTTGGTCAATGCTCAAGACCAGATGGCCTGAAAAGATTAGCAACAGGGATATCTGGGAGCAAACTGACCAGGAACCGATTGTGAAACAATTAGGTAGGAAGAAATGGAGATGGATTGGCTATACTCTGAGGAAACCATCAAGTGACATCTCTAGACAAGCCCTCGAGTGGAACCCGAAAGGGAAGCGGCAAGTTGGTCGTCCAAGGGTGACTTGGAGGAGGTCATGTGAAGAGGAGATGAAAGCGTGTGGGCAGACTTGGAGCAGGGTGAAAACGTTGGCAGAAAACAGAAGGCAATGGAGGTGCGCATCTGAAGCCCTATCTTCCTCTAGGAATTAAAGGAAATGATAATAATAGTCTCCAGTTCATCAGTGGCTACTGGATGGCTGTTCTGAAGTTCTAATGAAATATCGTCGCGAGTAAGATTCACTTTGTCAGAGTGAAATGGATACCCATCGATAGTACTGGATAGTGACTGCGCTGTATCACGAAATGACAAAAAATAGAATTGGGGTTTATGGTATCAGACGTGTGATTTATTAGACGCCTATGAGCGTTCTTCTAATACCAGTCGTATATTGGACGATTTTTAAAAGTATTTGATCCTTTTTCCTCTCATCACTTTGTATTTTTCCCCAGGTATATAGATGTAATAATGTTTTCGTTCATTTAGTTACTTTGTTTATCCTGAAGAGTATTCTGTGTAGTCAACTTGTTTGTTGATTCACTTTCATTCTACTTAGAAGAGGATGGTGTATGCGTGAATTTGTGTTTATTCAGCTGTCGATCTTTTATTTTTCCACTTTTTAAAATTAGGTTATATTGTTCAAATGGAATAATAGGCATTTTAATTTTCGTATATACTCAATTAAAATTTGCTTCATGTTTTTATCTCTCGACTGGATTACATTCTGTCTAACTTTGAATCATCAGAACTACTAGCTAAATATAACAATCCTGAACAGGATATTTTGTGCACTACATTATTCTTGTTATATTTGGTTGACTTCATTCTTTGAGCTGATCCAATATGTGTCTCGGAAACACTGTTCAACCTAGCTGTCAAGGTTAGAGTGGAAGTGCACCCACAGTTCGATACGATATTTTTTAAAATTTGAATTTACAAACGAATGCCATGAAGTGACGTGTAATCTCTTATTATTTTTTAAAAAGTAAGTGTGAATATCATAGGAGGGAATCTCCTTCATTTTATATTACTGGTTCTGTTTAGACATCTTTGGCAAGAAGAAAAGCTATGATATGGAGTGGTGGCTGTCCACAGACACCTGGAAACTGATGGAGGATAGAAAAACGGTGAAACGAGTAGGAAATGTGAAAGGAGATGATTATATTCTACAGCTCAAGAGTCAAGAAGAGTGGTAAGGATAACAAACGATGCTTTTGTGACACTGGCAACTGAAGCACGACAGGCTATAAAGTAAGACCCGAGTGGGAAGTTACAGACTGGTTACTGATTAAAAGTTAAGATGGAGGGGATCGTATGGACAGGAAATAAAAGCTATTTGGTTGTCGTGGGACTAGTTTAAAGTGCTTGCAGAGACGCACCACAGAAGCTGTAAGTTCCAGTAGGAAAGCAAGGACCGAATAATAATGATAATAATAATAATAATAGTAGTAGGAGCGACCGAGCTTCCCCCAAACATGTCTAGTCATACATTGGACTGTGTACATTCGAAGCGTCAACCCAGATACTATAGTATATAGGATGTCTTGTTTTGAAGTATTGAAAATAAGTTAGAGTTAAACTTTGTATGTAAACTGAAGACTTGATTAATATCAAGAAAGTTGAGTACAAATTTTATTTGAACACATCATCTACTTTAATGCCTATTTTTTCATCCTTCGGATCCCAAGTGAAACACAGGATTTCAACCTTTAAAGTTTCAATAGAGGTGATGCTGCAAACCTCACAGCCAACATACCCTATTTTCCGGACTGATCAACCCAATGTGAGTGATTTAGGAGTGAATCGGTGAGGAATCGAACTGACACTAACTAACCGTGTGTTGGAGGAAAATGTTATTATACTATAATTCTGTGTAAATTAATGCAAAACACAAGTTCAATAAATCAATCTATAACACATGCACACATGATACAAACAAAAACGTGACTTAACACAGGTGCTCATTACACAAAACATTACGCTCACTTTAAATATTGACTAAATGTGAAATTTCACCTTGTGTCAACATTTATTTTAAATTTTCTTTAATACATATTACTTTAATAATATATATACGTTTATGCAAATGTTTCAATGAGTACGATAAGGTTTTAATTTCTGTTTTTTTTTTAACATCTCATAGATTTTGGCCAGTTATTGATGATGCCCTACGTAAAGCTGCGCTTGATAGATCGGTTGAAATACGTTTATTAATAAGTCAATGGGCTCATACATCCCCATATATGAATAAGTATTTGCAATCATTAAAAGCATTGAATGGGATACGAAAGGCTGTAGTTCGTGTTGTAAGTAGTATTTCTCCCCAATTAAATTATGTGTTATTTGTCCGTGATAAAAAAAATATGTGTATAACAATATTATGTGCATCGGTGGCACAGCGGTTATGTCTCTCGTCGATCATACACATGGTCCGAGGTTCGATCCCCTGCCGACGCACACTTGATATCTATGGTCGGCCTGGAAAATTTGGGCTACTGATATCATGTGCTGAAAATTCCATACACGTACCAAAAATACGGTGTGGAATCAAGTTGTATTCAAAAAAATAAAAAGTATTTTAAAGGAAATAATTCTACTCAGTACTAATTACTTATGAGATTGCACGTAATTGCAATCCAGGCACACACTATTACAGATAAAACAGGGTCGGATAATGTACTTATTATTACATGTCCATTCAGTTGACTATTATTCACATAAACAGATCTAGAGGTAAGTTAACAAAATGGAATACTAAGGAGTAAAAGTTGTATTAAAAGCACTTATAAAATAAATTGTCAGACGGTGAATACAAACTACTTGCACGCTTAAGGTGGAGTAAAATCCCTCGTAAATTACCGCTAACCTCAACTACTAAGGTTCTTTATTTTTGTTAATATTAACTGGTTGCTAAAATACTTTGAATTCAAATGCACCACATACATTCCTTCGCCCTACCGTGGCCAGAGTAACGTCCTCACTATAATTTTGCTCCCTTTCATTTTGTAAGTCTACCATTATTATTGTTATTCTCATCATCCCTATTCTATTACGAGTTTACTAGTGTTTACTAATAACACTGAGTTTTCATACAGATTTTATAAAAGCACTTTATTGTCTTTCCTCCAGTTCTTGTCCATTCTATACAACCAAACTGATTGGTCGTTTCCTCACACTTATTACGTCATGACAACTTCTGCCACCTTTTCTAATTTCCAATTAGTCATCTCATCTAGACAACATCTTGCATTATGTAATACACTTTTGAGGACAAATTTTACGAGTATCTGAATGGTCTTATGAATTCTTTATTAAATATAATTACGACTGTACAGAAGCTAATGAAATTCATTCGTCGAAAAGAAAATTTTCTTCCCTGTTTACATCTTTTTCTTTTGACTCAAAATAATCTATCTCCAGGTTACTCCTTCGACTTCTTCTTAAATTATCTGTAAGTATCAAGTTTGGTCAAGAATTTATATCAGTTAGAAAAAAAATTGAAAACCAAGGAATATAGGAGAGCTGTTTCGCCCCAGTTTGGGACTCTTCGGAAATGCGCACTTATATTTCCATCGGGGATCACACCTAGAACATTCACACCACGAAGCGACCATTCAGCCACACTTGAAAATTATTCTAAGGCTGATTAGTGACCGATATCGTGATTACTGGAAGTCACCGGGTCGGGTGTGAAGACAACTACTAGCCAGTAACATCGACTGGCAGTTACGATAAAAATCGCTAATTAACAGGAGTTAGGATTTATGAACCATTGAATTTCGTCCCAGTGGTTGAGAATGGTCTATGAACTCGAGTTGCAACCTGAAGGTTCAGAGCTCGACAATCCCCAGGGGGAGGTGCGTACAGATGAAGAATCCTGAATCAGGACGAAACAACTATCTAATACTCATTGGTTTTCAGTGGTTCTATAACTAATGTGGATCCGTAATCAAACTTGTTACCAATCAAATCCCTAAAAACTGGTGGAGAATAAACACAAATTAATTATTCCTAGTTGTCCGTGTATTCTGTAAACTTTCAAGGTAAACAGCTCAGTAAATTCTCAGGAAGATAGTCACATTTGACTGATACTTATTTTGTAGCAACTACTAATGCAGTTACGGATAGCTGATCAGTAAATTAGTCAGTATTACTCAAAAACTGGGACCCGATTCAATGGCTCATGAATTCTAACTTCTACCAATTCGTGATTTAGCGTGACCCCAACCACTGTCGTAGGTGGGACATCCATCCTCACACGTGACTTCTGAATCGACCTCACTGGTCACGACTTCTCACTAGAACTCCAGGAAACTCCATCCTGGTTGGGGTCGCGCTAAATCACGAATTGGTAGGTTAGAATTCAAGAGCCATTGAACCAGGTCCCAGTGGCTGAATGGTATATGAGCTTGACTTGTAACCGGAAGGTCCTGCGTTCGAACGACAGTGGGTGCGTACTTCCGATGATTCCCAAACTAGGATGAAACAGCAGCTGTCCAGTACTCCCTGGTTTTCAATGGTTCTCTAACTGATATCAATCCGTAAAAACAAAACTAACGCTGACAAACCAAACTATCGAAAATTACTCAAAAAGCTTAAGTATATACGAATGTTTGTTGGTTTATCTCAATAGCATTGCCTTTTTTATATATTTTGTCAATTTTATTTAATTTTAACTACGGATTTTTATTGCCTATAGCGTCATTTCATTGTACCTTCGTATACTGAAGCACAGAAGAAGATACCATTTGCTCGTGTGAATCACAATAAATACATGGTCACTGATAAAGCATCCTTCATTGGTGAGTATTCCTCAATTAGAAAATAGAGTAAAATTGTAGTCACTGTTTTGTGTGTGTGTGTGTGTGTGTGTTAAAGTTTGCAGTGAGTGAAAATACAAAAGTGCTATAATCATATTGGTGTATAGGAATATGCGTCACAAGCTGATTAGATGTATGAATAAATAACCAAATAGATAGAGGTCAACCTAAAGTTCAATAGACAAGTGTGAAATAGATGATCGGAAAATAAAGTACATTCGGAAATGTGAATATGTGAATATAATATGATGGAAACATAACATAACATAACATAACATAAGCTTTATTCCAAATCAGTACTTGTGATACAGAATGGAATTCTCAGCATTTTACTACAATATTGCATCCAGTTTTTTTTACATTAACAATAAATAAAGTTCTACATAGTTTAAAGTTACCTCAACAACATATTAGTATGTCGGTAGCAAAGCCAAAATTAAAGTGTTTGAAGGTGTTAGAAAAGTAGATACTACTAGCATATTTACTGGCGTAAGCGATAGCAAAATGTTCGAGATGTACAGAGTGTGAAAGAACGAACAAGAATGTTTTAAGTAGAGTTTGCAAGGAAGAGAGAAACAAAACATAGGATGAGTGAAATGTTGTTAAAGTAGTAGACTAGATAAATTGTTAGGATATGATAACATACAGTAAAATGAAACGAAACAAGAATGGAATATGCGAATTATATAATAATATCAAGACCATGGTAACGAAAGAGATCGTGCAAATTGTTTTTGTACACAAAGTTCTGACTTAATGTTGTGTATTGCCAAAGCCTCTGTTATACAAAGCAAATGCTTTGGTGTCCCTTTCGGCAAACGATGTGTCGTATGCTGCGTGGTCAGCATCTACAATATGTTACAGTATGGATGAATTAATATCTCTGCTTTCTCCTTTGCTCAACCGAACTGAGAGGTGCTGTCGAACGCAGCGGGATATGTTTCTCGAAGAACTTCTTATGTACCTAGCTCCGCAAGAGCAGGTGGACATATAAACACACATGGAATCAGACAATAGAGGTATCATATCATCAATGGACGACTGGAGTACGTTATTCGTAAAGCGGTAGCAAAGTACGTTTTTCTCAATGGTCTCGCCAGACGATTTTTAAGTACTTCATTTGCAGTGTCACCTCTAAATTCTAAGTTTATGTGCAGCACATTTTTAGCTACATTGTCAATCTCTGTATTTCCCCCACGTACTTTGCTACTGTCCTCTACGAAGCGTAGTGGACACCCGTTCTCTATGAAGGTTCCTTTCAGTTGTTTGAGTTCATTATAAACATTATCTTCACCACAAATTCTCCGCACCCGTGTTGAGAGAGAACGGATTAAATTTCTTTATCTATCCATGGGGACAAAACTGTAAAAATTGGTCAGTTGTCCCGTTCATGTCAATTTTCTGTAAATAGATCTTTTCAAAGATCCGTCGGCTGTCTTTGTGAGTAGCACACCAAGGAAAGATATCTTTCCTTCGGTTTCTTTCTCTAAGGTGAACTGGATAGCAGGATGACTGTCATTGAATGCTTTCAGGATGTCATTCAAGCTGCGGTTCTCGTCGCATATAATAGACGTGTCATCCACGTATCTTTTGTAGAAGGTAATCCCTTTTATAGCAGATATGACAGTACTGCTCTCCATACTAGACAAAAAGAAGCGTGCTAGCAATGGACCAAGTGCCGAGTCCATAGCTACCCCGTCTCTCTGTCTATAGATTTAATTGTTGAGAAGAAATTAGACATTGAGAGTACATCGAAGTATTAGCTCTTTTAAGTATGATATGGGAATTCTTACGTTTACATTATGTAAGTCTATGTAATTATAAACGAAGCATACACTTTCATTTAATGGAACATTGGTAAAAAGTGAGCATACTTCAAGTGATAACAATTTCCCCAGTAACATTAATATCATTAACGCAATTGACAAATGCAAAAGTGTCATACAAAGAATGGGTACATACTTCCCTTCCTAATGGTTCCAAGAGTTCTGCTTTCCATTTTGCAACAATGATACGACGAGCCTTCCACGTCTAAAACGGGACGCATTGGTAATCCAGATTCACGTACTTTCGGTAGGCCATAGAGTCGAGGAATGATTGATCCAGAAGGTCTTAACCTTTCATATAGCGTGGTTGTCAATGATGAATCATTCTTCATAAGTTTCAGAACCTGTGTGATTTGTTCCTCTGTCATTTCTGACTTGTTCTTCTCACGTTCACGTTTCTGAAATTTTGTTTAATCTGACAGGATGTTTTGCATTTTGTCAATGTAATCTTTCCAATCCACTACTACAATCCTTGCAGCTTTATCTCGTGGTGTTAGTAGCATGTTCTCATTTTTCTTCAAATCCTTTAATTGAATGAAATGTTCTTTCGTGAGAAGCTGACGCAGTTTCAGTTTTGATTTCATGAACTGATGGGCGCAATTTAGCACTGATGACTTGAAGTGATTCAGGTCTTCTGGTGAATTTACTGTCATATCCTTTGTCTGATTGATTAGATCATGCAGTGTCTTTCCATTCTATGGAAGGATACAGAATTTCGAGCTTTATGATAAAATCTCCATCTGCGTACAACTCAAATCAATCGAGGCGTAGTTAAATTGAAGAACCTACTAAAGCTGACCGAATCAAGTGGGAAATTCCCGAAATTCAGTGGAAATATGTATTTCAGATTGGCACTGTCGCACCTGCTTTTAATAACCGCAGCAACATAGTCTTCAAATTTTAGGTGAATCTCAGATGAATGTTCGCTCATTACATTTGCTCTCCGTGTGATATTTCTTTCTAAATCATAAATCCGAGAATGGATAGCATCTATATTATTAAGTGTGTAACGTTTAAGAGTTTTGTGATTTGGATAAACACGATGACGCCGCAAAACTCGGCTGGATAAACGCTAACATCCAAGACCATTGACGATAGAGAGTGACATTTATTGCTGTGTTCACAAGCAGACTTTTACCGATCACTAATATCATTGAAATACCTCAGTATCTCCCGAAACAGTCAATTAGTTGAAACTCATCTATAAATATAATCAATTTCAATGGGAATTTGATGTGAGCACTCATCTATTGTTTTGACAAATCCATGTTTACGTGTCTTCTATTCACACCATTGTAGTGAGTCAAGGTATATTACGATTCAGGTGAAATGAAAATCCAAACTGCTTTAGTTATCTGTCTTTCACCTAGAATCACAGTTTTATGGAGAAATGTGTACTGCCCGGTGAAATAAAGTTGACTGTGTAAACAGTGATAAATTGAACATGGACGCAAAGATGCGTTTCTATCTCTTCTGTCTTGCATTTATTTTAGTTATGTGAAAGCTGCGTCTGTGATTCAGTGGTACAATGCTAGACAGTCACTCAAGTAATCAGAAGGTGGATTCCCAGCTGATAAATTCCTAAGCCTCGCTTAGTTTACTAGATGATAGTAAGCTCAGAAAACAGGGGAAGTTATGAGTAAGACTATCAATCCCACTCCCCGTAATGATAACAAGACTACCCTTGAAACTTCAAGGCTTCAGACATGCAGCCCTCTCGGAACTGAAGAAATGAAAAGCCGGTGTGGAAGTCAGTTTGGTCTAGAATTTTATAGAATGTTGTAAGTGAATTACAATTTGAAAGTACTTTCATAAGTGTGAAGATGTGGATCATTGGCTTAAATGCTTGACTTCCGATCGGAGAGACTGGAGATTGAATCTCGTTACACCTCCTTCACCCTGAGTGACTGAGTGGTATCATCAGCTGTCACATAATTTGTCGCGTACACCCAGGTACTTGGTAAGTGAGCTCCAAATAAATGAATTATCTTCTTAAGTGAGTCGGTAGCGCAGCGGACAAGACTCTCGCCGACCATGCATATGGTCCGTGGTTCGATCCCCTGCCGACAAACACCTGATATCTATGGTCGGCCTGGAAAATTTGGGCTACTGATATCATATGCTGAAAATTCCATACATGTACCAAAAATACGCTGTGGTTTCAAGCTATAATCAAAAAAGTGTTATCACATCTTTAATGGAATATTTAATTCATTGTTGCTTATAATTATTTAAGTAATATCAAGGAAATGTTTCCTATCTTTTAAAATGATGATTGATTTTACACATACATTTAGGTACATCGAATTGGTCTGGTGATTATTTCCTTTATACTGCTGGAGTTTCATTCATCTATGAAGAAAGCAATCAAACATCATGTGAACGAATTAAACCAGAACAGTGTGAAGATTTCTGTATACCGAAACCAATTAGTATACGACAACAAGTGGAAAATATATTTCGCCGAGACTGGAATTCAGAATTTGCATATGAAATTTAAGTAGAGTTATAAACAGTCTTAATTGTTGTCAATTCCCGGGATTTTAAATTATTCTTTTGTTTTAATAAATGGTGTATATGTGTGTGCGTGCATTTTAATATTTTCATAATCCACTAATGTAATAAACACATTTTTCTGTGAGATTTTATGGTTCCTGTGCATTTGATTATTTTATACTGCGGAATTAAGTGAATCATAATTAAATGTCCAATTACATGTAAAATTAAAATAATTAGTTTGTTTTTATTATTTCTTAGAAAATGAACTGACTGGTTGCGATTTTGAATGGAATAGTTTTATCAGTTAACTTATATGGTAAGTAAACTATACTGTTTGATCATGGGGAATAATAAAAACACAGTTGCAGCGAAGAAAATTTTCTTTTCCACGAAATCATCAACTAGGCTGTACATTCGTGTATTTATAATAAAGTGGTCGGAAAGTTCCAAACTACTTTCCGGTCAAGGGTCAAATTAATAAAATTATAATTAGGAATTCAAATGCCATAATAAACAGGGGGACGGATAAAACTAGAACAAAGTGACATCATAATTCAAATAAAGTATAATTATATTTCAATAGTTTTGTTATTGGTAATATTTCGAGCAAAATTACTGCCCGTGTTCACACCACTGTTGGAACTGTTTTATTCACACATTTATGATTTGTACTCAAATATATAGTTCATTATTATTTTTTTTCTCATTCGTGTTTTTTTGTGTGTGTTCAGAGTCATATGTCACGTTCATTCATGTTTAAAACCATTAGTTCCCTTTACGAATTTAGATAAAGCAATAAGACGTAATTTGTCTGAATCGTGTAATGTATTTGCGCAACGCATTTCGAACAATCTGATCACACACGGACTTGTCATAGGAATACATATGAAATTAATAAAGAGTTAAGAGGTGAGAAAACAGACTTGGGTCAAGTTAAAAGGACATATTCAAGGTCAAAATAACAATGAAGACCACTAAACCAAGTAGCGGAGGTAATAATACATCTGCTATGGTATCAAAACAAGACTTACCAAGGAAGGTTTAATGGGATGACGAATTGTTTTTGAACGCATAAAGGTGGCTTGAACTTTCTAATTGCTAGGGCTTCCACAAACTTTAGGATACGCCCCAAACACGTTTTATAGATAGGTTTAAAAGATCTGTTAACTTCAATTTAATGTCCTGTCTCTATAATATGTTTCGTAATAGAAGAGCTACGTCTCCTATTAATAGGTTCTGAAGAATCCATTTGTTTCTGAAGCCATTTAGGAATATACTCTGAAGCCCTTACTTGCAGAGATCGATGAGTCCTCCCTATGTATGTGTCCACATGTACATTCAAATTGGTAAATACAGTGGGATGTGACGTCATTTTTCGTATGTTCGAAGGGATTAGATAGATATAATGGCTTTACATTCTCTATTATTATGATATTAGCTGCATGAAAAGTCTTTTTAACAGCAGCGTTCGGTCTTTGTCTAGTTATCAAGCTGCTATGATGCCTCATATAGGGTAGCTTCATGTACATGTCTTTCTTAGGGGGGAGCTGGAGAGTGGGTCATGATGTTCTGACTACTTTATATCTCCTGATGAACTTGTCTGGATAATTGTAATCAACCAGAGTTTGTGTCAACTTTCTTTCTCCTTCATCAAGTGTGTCTTCAGTGCATATTCGTTGGATTCTACTGAAGAGGCACCTTACTAAGCCTCTTTTGTACCGAATAGGGCAGAAACTGTGGTAATTAAGATACTGTCCTGTCCAGGTAGGTTTCCTATAAATAGATCTTTTTATTGACCCATCAAGCCGTCGACTAAGCAATATGTCTAGGAAAGATAAACAATTATCTACCTCTTCTACAGATGTAAGTGATATGCTATTCTGAACTTCATTCATTCGATTTAAAATTGAGGTGGCAGAACAAGGCTTATCACTGATGACTACGATATCATCTACACACCTTCTATAAAGTGCCACATTTTCGATTAAATCCTCTGATAAATTCTCAATGTGCGACATATAGATATCTGCTAAAAGAGGCCCTAACGGACTGCCCACAGTAACACCATCAACTTGGCGGAAACAATCGCCTTCAAATGTAAGCCTAACATTGTTAGTACAAAGAAGTAATAAATCCCTTAAGTAAGATATAGGGAACGGGATGAAAAAATTGTTAGTGGAAATATATTCACACAAAATGTCAACTGTTTCGATCAAAGGCACATTAGTAAATAAGGATTTTACATCAATCTATTCTGTTATGAGTCTTTCTTTCCATTTGTTCATGTTTGTTTTCAGAACACACACATTGTTCCAATCGATATTGTGGTTTTTGTCCCATGCATGTCCAGCTATCAATGAGTTTTTTTCAAGATTCTTGTACGCTTGTGTTCCTGTTGGTTGACCTTTGGTTAGGCGTTTATGTTCATTCACTCTTATTTTGAGTGATCTGGACGTTTGCCCCACATATTTAGTCGGACAGTCGGCACAAGATATTTTATAAATCAAATTGTTTTTATCCATCATTTTTATGGGATCTTTCAGTGGATTTATTTTATTTTTGATTAGATTCGTCGGTTTAAAGGTTGTTCGAATGACGATAATTTTGAGGTTTCGTTGTATTGCTTCTGATGTACCATTTTTATATGGTATTGTGACTGTCTTTTTCCACTCTTCCATCTTGTTATTCTCCGGTTTCACCCTCTTTTTTCTCTTCTTTATATTATCTTTTATAAATTCTCTAGGGTAGTTGTTTTCGAGTAGCATTTTGAATATTACTTTTATTTCTTTACGCTGGTCCTCTGGTGTTGTTGTAAGTCTACGTATTCTATCTGCAAGACATTGTATTAATCCTCGTTTTACCGTGAGTGGATGAGCAGAATGATAATCAAGGAATCTTTCAGAGTGTGTGACTTTTCTATATATCGTTGTTTTTATGCTACCATCTGTCATTCTTTGTAGTTTGCAGTCTAACATAGGCAGTTCCCCAATTTCATTCTCTATTTTCATAGAGAAATTTATTGAGTCTACGTGGCTGTTCATGTGTGAGAAAAGTGTCTCAATACCGTTTTTTCACTATTACTAGTGTGTCGTCTACATATCTCCACCAACATTTTAGTGATGAACTGAATGGTTTAAGGGCATTCTCCTCCCAATAATCCATGAATATGTTAGCTATTATTGGTGAGATAGGCGATCCCATAGCTACTCCCTCATTTTGTTGGTATATTTTCCCTTCGAATGTGAAATATGTTGTTGTCAGACAGAATTTCACCCATGAATGCACTGAAAGGGAAACTAAAAGAAGATAATGGCCTGGAAGACAGAACTCAGTTATCCGTAGAAGGGATAATAAAAGGGAATAATACCAATAACAAAACTTATCAATGTGTGTAAACTATTGAAACATAATTATACTTTATTTGAATTATGATGTCACTTTGTTCTAGTTTTATCCGTCCCCCTGTTTATTATGGCATTTGAATTCCTAATTATAATTTTATTAATTTGACCCTTGACCGGAAAGTAGTTTGGAACTTTCCGACCACTTTATTATAAATACACGAATGTACAGCCTAGTTGATGATTTCGTGGAAAAGAAAATTTTCTTCGCTGCAACTGTCTTTTTATTTTTCCCTGTGATCAAATGTGTATATTCCGTGATTTGAAAAAGAGCAAGGACCGTTTGACGGTAAAGGAAGTGAACAAGTTTCTACGTTTGTCCGTCAAGCTTGCTGAGGCGAATGCGAATACTGGTTGAGTACGTTTCCAAAATAATATCTGGGAGTAGGACTCTTACGATTAATCTAATAAACGGAGTACAGAATATGGTAAGAACAACTAATACTATTGTGTGATATATTCATATGTAGATGTTTAGAAGTCTGAAGCTTGGTCTGGATCCACTAATGTTGACAAAGCCGACACTAACACACCCTCCGAGTGGCAAATCATCCACCCTACATATATAGAATCACAAAGCAGTTACCGGGTTCATGGTTAACCTAATACATCGGATGAGCACAAAAAAGAAGTATCAAACACTATACCATAGTTAGTCATCTTAGCTTTAGTAACTCTAGCAAGAACTCAACAAGAGCAGACAAGTCGAGTAACTGTGGTAACAGATGTAAGGATATGGTATTCGCAAAGAAGCCGATACAAATTTCAGACTACATAATCTTCTCTTCTGGGTTGTAGGGCTGATAGACATGAAAGTTTTGTACGAGTAAATATAAATCAATAATTCAGATCAAGCATGTCTAACTTTAATGCCAAGAAATCTACAAAATGCAGGTTTACATGGTAGCGATATGATCGTTTATAGGGAAACAGAAGGTGACCATGTGAACACCTTAAAATGTATCTAGGGAAGCGGAGTACGTTTTAACAAGAATAAATGACAGATAACCACAAACAATGGCACTTTCTGGATTGTAAAGCAGGGAACTAGAAGATAACGTAATTATCCGAAGAGATTTTGACTATTAAAACTACCGCAAAACAAATTTTAAAGTGGAAAATTAGGCACTCCTTGAGAATAACCATATTTTACACCTGATTTTTTTGAGATTTCAACTGGATAGCAAAGTTGTATAGTGATGTGAAATTTATGTGGATAAAACTGTCATAATAGGAGTCTGTTTAGACGCCATATCAGTGGAACCCTTAATTGCCTGATCGTTGATTTCAAATTCATACCAACCGTTAGCCTATGCATTAGTGAGATCGGCAAAAGAGTAATTTTTGACTTTTTAAACTATTAGCCAAAGAAATTATTTAGATATAATGGAGAAGATTTGTAGCTCAGGTGGATTATTTTGATGTAGTTGTGTTCTCTCTGAGCTGGATAGTTTATTTGCGAAGCTTTCATTGTTGTACCAGGCAACATCTTCAGCGTATACTTCAATTGAAGCTCAGAGGAAACAACTACATCAGAAACAAAAATGACTAAATCTAATGAGAGCAATGTTTTCACAGCTTAATTAAGCATCACTTGTAA